AGATAAATAACAGAGATATAAAAGATAGAAAAGGTAATTAATAAAGATATAAAAGGTAAAAAAGGTAAATAAATAAGGTATAAAAGATAGAAAAGATAGAAAATAAAGATAAAAAGAGTAGAAAAGATAAAAAATAAAGATAAAAGGTAAATAATAATAATTATTATACGATTATTAAATGATTAATATGTATATACTATTTTTATCAATTTGTTATTTTGTTACTATTTTGAAGATTTGCATATTTTTTACTATTTTTGAAAGATTTGTTAATTACAGAATTATTGAAAATAAATATAACATTACTTTTTCTTATTTTTATTCAGAATTTATTTTTTTATAATATATTTATTTTTTTTACTTACAAATTAAACAATAAATAATTTTAGTAAAAATTAATATAAAATTTAGATATCTATTTATTATTATTATTTTTTTATTTAATAATTTTTTTCAATTCTTGTTCAAGTTTATAAGCTAATTTGATTAATAAACAAAACTTGTAATAATATCTTTAATACAGATAAATTTTTCTAACTGCACTCTCTATAAGTATATATTCTCTCTAAATACATAGCATAATTGGATTCCAGTTCATAAGAACTCTATATATTTTGCTCTCTATAAATATATATACTCTCTAAATATATACTTTATTGTGATTCCAAGAGGAATACATTTAGAAATATTTGTCTGTATTTTTATTATGTTATTTAATTTTATATAAATATTTTGATATTATCTATTAAAATTCTATATATAATAAAATATATTTTGAAATACAATAATCATAAATTAATAAAGTAATAATAAATAATAATATATAGTTAAATAAAGAAAAAATATATAATATACATATTATTTATTATATTATAAAAAAATTGGTTACAGTATGTACGATATTATTTAAATTTGAGTTACTGAAAAAATTTACATTTCTAATTACTTTATTATTGTATTATATTTATAATATTTTACTATAAATAGAAAATTTTATGTTCTGATGGTTAATAAGAATTTTAGATTAAGTATACATGTATTTTTATTGGGATTATGAATTAATTATATGAATAAAAATATTTAAGAATTTAATTTTTTATTATTTTTTATCAATTTGGTTCAAAATGAAATCCTGAACTGAACTAAATCAAATTATTTTAGAAAATGTGAGCTAGAAGTGAAATAGCTAAGAGAAACTGTAGTGTTTGAGCAAGCAAATGGATTTGGTGAGATTGGAATATTATTGAGTTGAAATTGCTACCCTTTCTTGTTTGTAAATACATTTTCTTTTTTGCGATTGTTTTTTATAAAATTTATTTAGATGGAGCTGAAGTTGTGGCTGATAAAATGAAAATTCATCCGAGATAAATCAATTGTTAAAAACTGGTTCCAAACCAAGCCAAACCATTCAGATTCTTATTTTCAAACATTTTAAATTTTCTTGATAATTTTTAATCTATATTTGGATTTAATCCAAAGAAAATTTCATAACACTAATTGCAAAATATAAAAATTGCACTTATTTTGCAATTACTGTATTAATAAAGAATAAAATAACTTATAATATACATGTATAAAAAATTTATTTTACTAACTTGCTTGAAGCTTACAAGAAACTTCTAAAAGAATAAAATAAAAAAATATTAAGATAATTACAAAAAATATCTCCAAGTGCACTCTTTTAAATGAATTTTATATATAATAATAGTTATTCTACAGTTATATTTTTCTTAATATATACTTTTGGAACAAGAGGATGCCTTAGAAAGGTTTCTGTTTTCAAAGTAAAAAAAAACTTAGAAAAAAAGATATTCGCATTTTTATTTTTTAAAAAAGTAGAAAATAATTATTACTAGAAAGAATTAATTCGAAACTAAAAGAGAAAGAAATTCTTCCACTTAGTAAATATGCTGACTTAGTTCAGATTAATAATGCTTGAGAACGTATCGGTACATTTCAGAAATTGAAGTAAAAAAATTAGCTTACTACAAGAGACCCTTAAATTTGTAGTGCGCAAATCTACTTATGTGGCGTTATCGTCGTATGTGACGTGTACGTACGTATAACTTTCTCATACGTCAGTAATATGTCATCACTCTTACTAAAAAAAGAATGTGCATCCGACTACAAGCTTATATACTCGTTCGTTCTTTTTTTCATCAAAAAAAAGATGAATCAACAAAAACAACAGCAGCAAAAAGAGACGAGGAGTAGAAGGCCATCGTCATCAATTCCACCAATTCTCGAAAGCCACAGACACCTCTTTCAGGAATCAATTATTCGAGATTGTCAGCATGTTTTGCGTAACGCGCCGGCGACCAGCGAGTATCCTTATTGGGATGTTTATGTTGGTATGTATCGGTATGTACAGTATCGGTATAATAACGCTAATAAATATCGATATTGAATTTCTCAAAGGAAAGGCGGGAATTGCGCTTCTTTTTACAAAGATCCATGAACGAGATCCAGGCAAGTTATTTTCACTCTTTTTATATTGGTACAAAAAATAATCTAATAAAGTAATTTTGATGAAGGCTTTATGATATATCCAAAATTGGCATTGACACTTGCCGAAGAATATATCGACAGTGCACTTGCGACATATACCGTCGAGAATCATAGTGAATTGAGACCCAGTGGTCATATTTGTGGATTTTTGTGCACCGCCGTTGGCTTATATACTGTAGCTGCTTATAGTAAGTATTATTTTGAATAATTTTTATCAAAAATTATTAACGTTAATAAGAATTTGCCAAAAAAAAGTAAAGCATCATGTAGGAGACCAAGAATCCTGCAATTACTATCTAGACATAATTCAAAACAACTTTAGCCACACCTGTTTCTCAAAACAAACACCCAGCGAGCTGCTCTACGGCCGCGCCGGGTACCTCTACGCCGAGAAATTCATATCAGACTTTATCGACCCAATGAAAGTCGAGCGATCAAAAAGCATTTTATACGGTGTATACGACGCGATAATCGATGACGGGGTGCGCACCGCCAATAGTATGAACATCACCGCGCAGACACCTATGTTTTGGATGTGGCATGATTCAGCGTACATTGGTGCGGCACACGGCGCAGCTGGTATTCTCACGATTTTGTTGCAGTTCCCGGAAAAGGTTAAAGAGATATCTGATCAGATTCGGGATACAGTTGATTTTGTGTTATTTAAGTGTCAGACTGAGGATGGGAATTGGCCTCCTTCTTTGGATAATAAGAAGAGTTTGGTGCAGTGGTGTCATGGGGCACCTGGAGTTGCGCTTCTGGCTTGTAAAGCTTATGAGGTTTATAAAGATCAAAAGTAAATTTTTTCTTGCCCTTTCAGTTGCAATTCATATATTCAAAAACTTCATGTATTGATTGATGTTCAATCTATTTTTAATTAGATATTTAGATCTCGCAAAAAAAGCCGCAGAATTTATTCATTCCAATGGTGTAATCCATAAAGGCGTTGGGTTGTGTCACGGCGTTTCTGGAAAAGCTTACCCGTTTCTTGCAATCTATCAGCTCACTCAAGAAGAAAAATATCTAGAATGGGCAATCGAGTTTGGTGTGATTTGCTCGAAATGGGAAGAAAAAACCATGCATGGAGAGTTTCGAAAATCTGATCGACCAATGTACGTATCCAATAAATATTTTCGTAATTTGTGAATTACGTACGTATTTATGAAAATAATTTTTATATTTAAATGATATTAGGTCACTTTATGAAGGTCTTGCGGGTGCTATTTGGTATGTATTTTTTTTCTAATTTTGGCACATGTATATATTATAACGACAATATTTCTTTTATTTATAAACGAATAAGGTTCTTCTGCGATTTGTATTTCTGGGATGTCGAAGTATTCAAGGGATTCCCTGGGTTGACTGATATATAAATAAAGGTTTAGTCCTTACTTTCTTTAAGTTTCTTATTTATTTTCGAGTATTAGCTAGTGATTTATCGTTATACTCACAGTTAATGAAATTTCGAAATATGCATTTAAAAAGATCCTCCGTCTCTCTTGGTTTCGTTTCGTAGAAAGATATTCGTTTTCTTGGATAAATTTTAAGTTTTTTTTATTGTCAAATTCGCGAAATAAATCTTGAAGTTCACAAGTACAATACATGTACGTGCATGTATTTAACATGATCGTGATTAACTGATTGATTTGATAAATGTATAAAGTCGTATCAATTTAGAAGCATCATCATCGTTGTTATTACCGTTACCGTTACCGTTACCGTTACCGTTATTACTGTTATCGTTATTCTTAACGTTAATACATGTACGTATATGTACAGAGAGGTGACAAAAAATTAGGACGATCGTTAAAATCTTGATACTTGAGGATAATATGATTCTATAATAGTTAATTTTTTATTAATATAATAACCTTTCATATGATAATTAAACTTATTCACCAAGTCAAAATTTA